GGCTGAATTTTTTGGGCATTATTATTGGAGTATAAATGTGAAGCTGCTATATTTTCTGATTGGATGTAGTCAACTTTGACCCCCTATATTTCTTAAACGTATGCTCCTCTTGAAATTTTGCAGGGATTATTGGGTCATCATAAGTAACCATTTGGCATAAAAAAAGTTTCAAAAATCGTGGTACCGAAAACGGACATTTTTTGCCGATGCTCTAAATGTTACGTAAGAAATTCGATAAAAGGGTGGTCACCCTTAAATCCTCAAACAGTCTCACTTTTGTTTTGGATGCGAGTGTAACATATATTTTTTTCAAAACTTTTGAATGAAATTTGCAATTATCTGGGCATTTTTTAAATTTTTGTTTCAAATACAGGGGGTGGTTTACCCCCTAAAAATGATCGAACCGAGTCGAAAATTTTTCATTTTTTATATCTTTTGATAATGCAACTATTTTATTTGGTTCGGGCCGAAAATACTGAATCCTTATATACAAAACAATTAAATCGATACCCATAAATTCAAAGGGGTGTTTCACACCCTAAATATGGTTTTCCGCCGATAAAAAAAATACGTATGTCTTATTTTTACGTCTACTAAAACATATTAAAAAATTATCCAAATCGGCGATTTACACTTGGGTAGTGTTAAGAAGGAAGCCTAAATATAATATAGTACAATTTGCCTTAAATATCTTGGTGAGTTTCATGTAAACTAGATGTGGTGCCGTTAATTTTCATTAACTTCTATGTTCCACATGTGCCGTTACTGCCGTTATAACGGCCATTTTTGTAAATCGTCATGAATTCTCACGGTCATAATGGCGAGTCACGTCTTCGAGAACCTTCGTCTGCAGGTGTCTGATGATCTGCGCAATCTTAGAAATACATCAAAATGGCCGTGTGCATAGTCTACCGGCACACGTTTGACATGATGGCGATTACCATCGCTTTATCTTTTATACGTTTCTTCTTCGTGAGACTTTATACTGTCTTATTGATAATTTACGCGAGTTACGGTGCCGTGGATTATTCTTTTCAGTGCGCCCGCCCTCCAGGCTAGACGCCGATCGACTCCCTTTGCGCCTGGAGTTAAATAATAATAACGCGTTACTATTCTCGCGCGGGCTTATATCTGCATTAATTGTTGAACTCAAGTCAGTTTCCTTATGCTGAACTGTGATCATATTTCTATAGACTTGTGTAAATATGATACCTAGTTTATGTTTTCTGAAACAAGTATGCAAAGTCTGTTTTAGGTTTTATACGGATAACTGCGTTAATAACTATTTTATTTAACTCAGTGGTTTAGAATTACTATTTACCCTATGGCGATTATACATTTATTGCATATGTAACTACGTGCGTACACGTGTCTACGCACTCAACTTAAATATAGGTTAGGCAGCCAAAGTATCCCAATGCCATTAGAAAATAGTATACTCGAGTGCGTCAGCTTTGTTTCACCGTATTAATATTTTTTGAAAGCGCGCGAAAGTGCAATACGCGATAGCGGAAAGCGTTATGTAAGATTCTTGCGTAGCATTTAATCTTTCTGTGTGACCTACGCGTGTGAATCTAGTGCTTGGTCCATATATAACATAACATTACTGGACAATCTTATGCACTTAAAATACGGTCTTTCTAACAATCTTACACAGATTCAATTTATATATATCTTAACATAGCTGAAAGAGCTGAATTTAATGTTCAGTTATATGTTCATTTGATGTTGAATTGTGCAAATTGGACCAGTTGCTATCTTCTATGGGATAACTGCGAAGCTCTTTTATAGAACATTAGATATAGAACGTGTAGCTGCATCACGAAGTATTATCTGTGATCCTTTGTATATGTGACGGTGAAGAGTGTATCTGTTTGTCTTCTAATCCTATTGATGTTCATTTTTGGGGTAAATCTGAAGAATAGTGGCCTCCTCACCAATTTCGTTCAACTTGGGCTTAATCGACGCGTTTTTGCACGAAACGACCGAATCTGGCAAAAAAAATGTCGCTCTGCCCCGCGAAGCGAGATATTAACGGTTAAAGTTGACAGAAATCAGGTTATGATTCCTGTCGTACCGACGAGATGCAGCGACTACGACCATGCCCTGCGGCCACACGCGCATGCTCAGTGGTCGCACGCGCATGTAAAACTGCGCCAATTTTAAATAAATCAATCGTGCAGAATAACCAAGCATCTCGATTCAAGCAGTTAGGTCTCACGCTGGGAGTTTCATTAGTTTAATTATGCGTGGGAAGCACACACACACACACACACACAGAGGGGTGCGAGGGGAGGCCTTCGGCCCCTCCTGCACCCTCCCCGTCCTCGCTTTACAACATAAAGTACATGCTAAGTTGTAAAACGAAATTATAAAGTACATGCTTGGGGAGGGGGGTGTAGGGGAGAAAAGCCTTCCTGTTCACGTGCGCTCACGCATGTAAGCCCACTTGCATCCCTCCATGCATGTGCTTTATAATTTTGCTTTACAACTTAGCATGTACTTTATCTTGTAAAGCGAGGTCTACGCTTTCAACCGTGAGGGCGTGCGTGGCTCGCACCGTCTCGTCTGTGTGTGTGTCCACGCGAAACGAGGTGCCACATGGGTTCATGACGCGCTTTACAACTTAGCATGTACATACTTTAAGTTGTAAAGCGAGTTCCACGCTTTCAACCACGGAGGAGTGCAAGGGGGGGGGTCGAAGGCCCCCCCTCGCACCGCCTCGTCTGTGTGTGTGTGTGTGTGTGTGTGTCCACGCTTTACAACTTAAAGTACATGCTAAGTTGTAAAGCGCGTCATAAACCCATGTGGCACCTCGTTTCGCGTGGATACATGGCACACACACACACACAGACGAGGCGGTGCGAGGG